TATATATATATACACTACACTCATTTGTTAGTTCTCCTTTGAAATAATAATTTCCACCAATTCCCATTTTTAGACAGACAAAAAAAGCGATCCATTAAAATAAAATAGTATGAACTAAGTAAATTAGATAAAACACTCCATTTCTCATTTACGAGATCTCCATAAGTAAATTCTTTTCAAGTTTTAAACAACTATTCTCTCTTGTTGAAGGGATCTATGAGAAGAATATAGCTTTTTCTTATTTTGTCATTTTTTAAGATTAATAACTTTTTTATGTATTATTTTTTTATTCCGTTGTTGACATTAAAGAGTGAAAATGGAATGGATAAAGGTGGAAAATAGAATCTTAAAATTTTCTTTGAGATTTGAAGAGATTTTTGTGTGCCAGTTTTTTTTTCCTGGTAAAATTTGGTTTAAAAAAGAAAAAGGAAGAGGTAATGGAGAGAGAATAAATCAATTGAAAATTGCAGCAGAAGAAAGAAGATTGAGGGAGAAGGGTTTGCCATGTAGCAATTTTGTGGGATCCACAGTTAAGTTTAACAAAAAGTATCACTTGTATAGTTAGTTTTAGGGTTAAAGATCAAAATGGTCATATTTTTATATACATTAAGGACTATTTTAGTAAGATAATATATATAAAGGACCAAGAATGTTCAAGCCCCATACATCAAGGACCATTTTGGTCGTTTTCTCAATGATATTGTATGGTAATGTTATATAGAGACAAGCAAATGCAGGATTTGAACTTTATGGGAACGAGTTCAAGATTCTATCACATTTCATTTGATTTACTAGGTTCGACATCAATTATTTGTAGTGCCTTTTTTGGTGAATGTTTTACACATGTACAAAGTTCGAACCAAAAATTCTAGTCTAATTTTTGTTTTTTCTATTTTTTAGAGAAAAAAAACTTGGAAGATTACTATTTCTTTTTAGTATTAATATTATTCCTTTGTAATGCAATAAATATGTCTTTAAGGTTTATTTAACTTCATTTACGGTTAATGACGGAACTTAAATACTCCATAAGTGTAATTAGAGTGCAAGAAGAGAGACACAAAGAATAAGCTTATTATATTCTCCAAGATAGAAAAATTGATCACCATGGAGAATAATTAGCAAGGCAACTTGAGGAATCCAATGAAGACATAAATTAGTGATGAAATATTTTTTTTAAAATACTATAGAATATAACCTCCTTTTATTTGTTTGCAAAGAACATTTAATGGAACGTGATAACACTAATCCTCATATGTTGAAAGTATTCGTACTATGCTGAATGTTTACATTAAATCAATGAATGCATGACATGTATATAAATATATTAATCACTTAACCATATGATTAATTAACGCATATATTAACTCCATTAGATCACTTAACTACGATAAGTTACATCAATTTGGTATGCACATAAGTATCTATCATTCCAATATTCGTGTATAATTCACATTACTTTACTACCTATAAGAAATAATACGTAGCATAAAACATAATTTTGTACATTCCCAAATTTTAATTGCTTTAATAACTGTTAGTTGTTTTTTATCCACTCTTTTTTTTTTAGTTCAGATATGAAAATAAATTGTTCATAAACTGTAGTTGATTAGACATAGTGTTCTGCTCCTTCAGTTTTGCAGGCGTTTATTCACCTACACTGATTCCCACATCGAAAGAAACAAATGAGTAGACAGTAGACAGGTGCTATAAGTGGATAGACCCATTAACATTTTAAAGCATACCTTTCTCGGCCTTTTGGCTAAGATCAAGTGTAGTATCTGTTCTTATCAGTTTAATATCTGATATGTGGACCATCGGTCCACACGATATTAACTCAATTTTTTAAGGGGGAGAGTCCATCAAGGTAGCTTGCTACCTGGGCTCTCGCGCGTCGCCTATGCGTTGCACTACTGCATGGGCCTGGCGCACCCCACCAAATCAAGTCCAAGTTTTCCAATCTTCTAATTGTTGGCTTCATGTTGTTTGAGGCCCAATACTTAAAAGACAATTTTGCATTTTGTTGTTCCATACTAATATTTGGTGTAGTACTTAAATAATAGGGAGGTGATTAATTTTTGTGAATTATAATGACATAATGTGGCATTTTTTGTGACGAATTATGAGTGTCATAAAAAATAGAGTAAATTTTAGGTTTAGCAAACATAAAAATTATATTTGTATGATAAGTTTGTATAATTGCGCTCAATAATAAACTTTATGACTATTAATCTGTATATTTCGATATACATATACATAAAAAAATATGTATTTGAGTCTATTTGTATATTTCGGTATACAAATTGGTCCTGCATTTGTATATTTCGGTGTACAAATGGGTCCTGCATTTGTATATTTCGGTATACAAATGGGTCCTATATTTGTATATTTCGGTATACAAATGGGATGGCAAAAAACATGAAATATTTGTTGCGAATTACAAATAAAAGAATCTATAGCTATAACATTTAATTTGAATTAATAGTTTGTTATTTCATACAATTCCCCCTATAAAATAGCACGGGAAAGGGTCCATCTACAATGGGACGAGGGAGTAAATGTATTATGGGCCTACTCAAGTAGGCACGACAATCTTTTGGGACATATTAAAAAGGAAAGGATGTCACATAAAGGGTATAAATAAGTCGACATTCTGTTAGGACGAATTAAAAAGGAATGAGTGTCATATAAAATGCGATGGGAAAAGGTCCCATATAAAATGAGAGGGGGGAAGTAAATGTATTTTTGGCTTACTCATGTAGGCAGGATAATCTTTTGGCACATATTAAAAAGGAGAGGGTGTCACAAAAGGTATAAAATTGAAAAATAAATACATCTGTTATAGATGAAATTGTGTTTTATGTGGTCCTACGTATGCATGTGTCTACTTGTTCAATTTTATATACAAGTTTAAGTGTCCTACGTATATTGTGCCACGTAGGACGCGTATGTTTACTTGTTCAATTTTATACAAGTTTAAATGTCTTTACGTTTGTGTCTACTTATTCAATTCTATATACAAGTTTAAGTGTCCTACGTATATTGTGCTACTTGTTCAATTTTATACAAGTTTAAATGTCTATAAGTTTAGGTGTCCTATGTGTATTGGCCACGTAGGACGCGTTTCAATTTTATACAAATTTAAGTGTCTATTTGTGCACGGGAATAGATACAGCTAAAGCCAAGTTAAAGGACATACTTATGTATAATGCCAAATATAATTGGTTAAAATTGAACACTATGTTTATAGATCTTGTTGTTGACAATTTGAACGTTGGAATGAATATTGTTGTGGCTTTGCTAATATTGTTTTCAGTAGTAATCTCCTCGGATGAATTGATTGAGTTGCTTCACTTCTCCAGTTTGTTGATCCACCACTGCTTTGACAATATCCGCCACAGAAATCATGCCTACTACCTTTCCATCGATCACTGGAACATGTCGTATGTGGTGCTCTGTGATCATAAAACATTCCATCACATTTCCTTAGAGCATCAAAGCATAACTAACTTTGCGAGTTGAGCTAATACTTACCACTCATGAGCTGCATTGCTTGGAGAATGTTTGTGTCCGATGTGACGGTAATCAGCTTGCTCTGTTGCAAAGGTAGTACTAATATTGAGCATAAAACAGAAGAGAGATGAAAAAAGTTAAAGCCAGAAAGACGATATATAGAGTACCTGCTCGGTCATAATATCTCCAACTCTTGTGTATTTAGATGATCTATCCTGTACAATTACCTTCCGCAGATAGTCTGTACTTCTCTTGTACAATGTGCATAGATGAATAAGTTCAACATTATATCTAATCGAGCAAAATGTCTATTGCTTCAAAAATTGTGTAGTAGAAACTAGAAAGTTTTGGTTAAAAAGCTGTTTGGTGCTTAGATCAATAAGTTCAACATTTGTATGTGAATTGGAAGGCATACCTCTTTCTGTTATAATTCCAGCTATCAGTTGATTCTCTCCTGGCTTTAGAACGACCAAAGACCCGATATTGTTTGCTGCCATCTACAAATTTGTCACCATCATCATATCAACATTGTTATTTGTATGTCTATAACTAAATAAAACATTCTATGGTGATGTTGAAGTTTTAAGCAACTTACTTGTTTGATGGCATCATACGCTGTGTCATTTGTTCGACAACAAAGCCATGAGTTACCTTTTTCTTCATCTTTTATCATTAGTACATCAGCAACTGTTGTATTCTCCAACCCCTTTTGCTGCATTGTGGAAGATTCTGAGACAACTATGTCATTGGCTTCCTTGCTCTGCACTGTGGGGAAGGAGATAACACGTCCAAATCTTGCGAATACTTTGTTCATCTCACTTGTGGTTTTGAATTGTGGGTGCTGTAGAATTGTAACCTTGAGCTTTTCATGGCATGATCTCACCACGCGCATAACACCTTGCATTGTGTTCCTGTCATTAAGGTACAAAACTTATATCATATTATCAAACACTTAAACATCATTTGCTTTCCAATGTTATGTTCATCAAAATGAATGTCAGTCTTATAAGGAAAGGATCCCAAAGGCCTGTTTAAGGATTCACGTGAACCTGATAACTTTTGCTCAAGTTCTGTATATATAACAAGAAACCTACTAAATTTAAACAAATATTTCTAAATCCTGGCTCCGCCTATGACTAGGTCTAACTCAAAAGTAGTACAGAAATCGAAGAACTTACCTTGAGGAAAGAATATCTTCAATTGGCAATTTTGTATCAGCTAGTGATGATTATATGCTCAAGCAAGAAAGTCACAAGAGAAGTATGAGTACTCTCCTTTAGTGATTTATATGAATTCCATTTTTGTGTTCTTTGCTTGAACTACTAAATCTGGAAAATATTTAACGCGAATTTTGCTTCTAATGCTTTGCTTCTTGTAAAAGTCATCAACTATTTAATAGGAAAATTTAACTTAGTTTCTTCCCTTAACCTTTTCCTTTGCCTCATGCCAAGATATTCTTTGACAAGGCAATTAAAATATGTTCATATTTTTAAGTAGATTATGCTAAATGCACATAGAATAAACAAAATTTGAGATGCTAACCTTAATCATAAGGCAATTGAACATTATTATTGATTGCCTGTAGTGAGGGGAAAGAGCTAAAGGTAAAGGTGAGAAGGCAAGTTAAGACATTACATGTTCTAAGGTATCAAAAACAAACCTTTTATATATTGATGCATTTTGGTAGTTGGATATCATCATTCACCAGATAATTGAACAGTAAAGTTTTTATTTGCTTCATAAGATTTGTTCTTTGTAAAATGGATAGAAGATCAACATTTCGATTACGCTTTCCTTGGTCTTCTGCATCTGAACCTGAACCTGCAACCAAACCAGCCACTCAGCCTAATACCAAATCTACTGGTTCTAGTCGAACAACTCGTCAGGGGACGAGATCACAGCCTTCCAGCAGCACTAGATCCAAAAATAGCCCTTCCTCTAGTCCTGCAAATGAAAACTCAACTCCAAAGCAGCCACCAAGTTCCACAACAACCGCGATATCTGGAAAGCCTTCTTCACCACCAAAAGCGCCTAGCCAGCCCACCACCACGAGCACAAGCGCTTTACCTGAAACTCTAACAACTCCCCCTCAACCTTCAGCTGAAAACAAAGCTTCTATCCAGTCCACCACAAATACAAGCCCTTTACCTGAAACTAGCCCAGTTCTTCCTCAATCTTCATCTGAAAACAAAGCTCCTATTGAGTCCTCTACCACAAACACTAAACCAACAAATGGTCCAGCTAGCCTGAAATCTGAAACTCAAACCCCTACATCCATAATATCTCAGACACCACAATCGAGTCCTCCAGGAGTTGCTCCCTCCATAACTGAGTCTCAACCCTTAATACCGTCTCAAGAAGATCAAAGCATCACTTTTAAACCAACTTCACCATCTCCATCCCCGTCTCGTCCAGCTCCTCAATCACAAGAAATGAGTCAAAAATCCTCCCCAACAAGCAACGGTCCTCAGGTCCTTTCAACTGACCAACTTACCCCAAAGGCAGTTAGCACTGCGAGCGGCCAGACTTCTTCAAATCCATCTGATATAACCTCTCAAATGCAACCGAACAATCAGACAATTTCCCAGCCAACATCTCCACCAAAACAATCACAAGACAGCTCAGAGATTTCTCCCAAATCCACCGAAACACTACCATCAAACTCTGAAAAAGAACCAATGCCCGCAACAGTTAAGCCTCAATCAGAACAAATGGAGCTTCCCAAGAAAGAAGCCATATCTGACACATTAACTGAAGCAAAAGATAAGTCACCTGAAAATGTAAAACCTTCAGATTCTTCAAGAATCACTAGTGAACCTAAGACAGCCAGGCCGTTGGAGACAAACATCCCGGAAACTAAAGAAGTGAAGGAAGTAGTGCAACAGACCACGGATCCAGACATTGTGTTTCAATCAAAGCAAGCATATACAGAGAAGCAAGCCAATTCTGATAATGATCAAATTCGGGTGAACCGTGTCTCTAATGGAAAACAGACAAGAACAATTTCAGCTGAACCAGATATACCCCTTAACAAAGAGGTAAAAGATAACATCTCAAAGTTTATTAATAGGATGACAGTTGGAGATGGCAAGCAAAAATTGGAAGAGGGGCCGGTGAGCGTAATCACCCTTGCAGGGGATAACAGAGGAGCATCTATGCAACTTAGTTCAAACTCATCAAGAAAAGGAAAGGCAGTTCACATTCACAGAGGCTACAAACTGAATGCAGATGAAAGTGCCGATGCAACCACAGATGCAGAGGGAACTTCAAAGGGAAAACAGACAAACGATGCAAGGACGATGAAAGATCAAGAACTAGAGGCATACATGAACTGCAATGTGCAGGGGCTCAACAACTCAATTACATTTGACAGTACTATTGAGGGGAAAAATCCAGGTATACATATGACATTCCCTCGTATGCCTTCCGAACCACCAAAAACAAGTGAGAAAACTGGACTGTTTGAGGCACACAAGACCGAATATAATGTTACCCGTGCTCAGAAACATACATACAAGCCAACAATCAAAAGAAGATGTCTCGAAGGGCTTTTCGTTGAACCAAGTGATTCTGATTCAGCCAACCCTGAAAAACCTCGGAAACATGGCTGCCATGTTGGCGGTAAGAAGAAGAGAGACAACGATATTGACATTCTTTGAAACTAATGCATGTAATTAATGAAAGTTAACATATCATTCTATACATTTTCAATAAGATCTGCTGAAAGCAATTGTAACAGAGATGTAAATGATCAATAAAACATGATATCCATGACATGTGAAGGACCTTAATCTCATGGATAGTTGTTTTCAGTGTCATTGCCTTCCCTCGATAACTCATTTACTGACTAATAATCATGGAATCAAATTCATGACGAAGAACAGATTAAACAAGTTATGTTGAACTAACAAAAGGAACATCAAAGCATACATTTCACGCTTTTGAATGTGCAAAAGATCGCACCCAAGGGTGTGTCCTGGTGATCAATGAAGCGAGATAAGAACTATGAGGTCTCAAGTTCAAATTCCAGTGTAGACAAAAATACTAGGTGATTTCTTTCCATCTGTCCTACATTTCATGGACAGAGTTACCTGGTATGTGTTGCTCGTAAGTAGTCTCCAATTTTGCACCATTTTACCTATAGCTTTGATCTCAATATTCGAATTCTCAGGACAACTCAAAAAGGTTAACATCATCATTGGAAATCAACAAGTTTAGATAAAACGTGGAATTAAAGCGTTAACAATGAATTTCAGCATTTTGATTTCGAATTATAGTACCAAAAAAATGCCAAATTTAACATTCTCAACCTTCAATTTTTGTTCTAATGTAATGTTGGAGTTTAATAGTTTGTCTTTCATAACGAGAGATCAAGCCAAGTGTATTGGATGAACATGTTCTTGTGCAATAGCTCGCAAATTACAGAAGATATGAATCTAATTGTGTAAATCAGATGTGACGAGTTCAAGTGAAAGGAAGAGATGCAAACCACATAGAAAATGACTAATTATGAAATATTCATGCTACATCAACTCATTCACCCTTGCCAAACGCGATTCACATCTATATAGATTACGTATGGCAAATGCAATTCATAAGTCACGTATGACAATGCAATTAATAAGTCAATGTTGGATATGATGTTGCTATCTCTATACATTTTTTAGTAAATTACTGTCTTTTTAGAGTCAAATATAGTTTTTTGTTAGTTGAAAAATTAAGAAATGTCTTGACTTGTGATCGTGACTAATCAAATATAATAATAACATTTAATGATATATATAGTTAAACCGTTGAAGTTAGATGACCTATTGTCTAATGTTTTGTAGATAAATTTTATGTCATTTTCTTTAATTTTCCATTATAGAATTAAATGTTTTTGAGTTTTAATAGTGCGTATCCAATGGCGCGCCACATATACTTGAGGGTGTCCGTGACATAGTTAAGTAAAAATATATTCATATGTATATATATTACATATTGACACTCCTTGATTTTTACGTGATTTTACTTTTTATATTTTCATGTGTCCTTCTTCTTTTTTCCTTTTCTTTTTACTATGATTTATAGAAATGTTATGTTTGTAGAGCTTTGAGCAGGTAACGAAGGTTACGTTTATCCACTTATTTAATAAAATGATGTTGACCAAATAAAATTTAGAAAAATATATATGAATTTTATTTAACATCCACAGAATTGAAAATACGTTTTAGCCTTTAGGTCGAGAGTCATTGGTTACCAAACGCAGAACAAAAATATTTTATTAATATTTCGTTAATTACAACTTTTAAATAATATATAGAATATGATACTTACCTACCATAATATAACTAAACTACCTCATGCCGAATGTGTATATTGACAACTTTAATTTAACTAGTTTTTCGACACGTGTGTTGCACGTGATTACCAATTCAAAAAATATATATTATAGTAAATATATTGCTTATTTAAGTGAAGATTTGAATAATAAGTTTTGCACAAAATAATATTAAAGATTTTTTTGTGAATGTTAAATGTGGATCGGCATATCTCTTATTCACGCGAATCTATAAAGATAGTCATGAATGGAAAGTTTTATTAGTTAAATGCAATAACTCATATATTTATTTTAATTTGATGAGCTAGGTTTAATCATTTATTTAGTCGTATCTCATTAATATTACGTTATAGACAATATTTGTTGTGTATTTTTCTTGTCATCTAACCAGATATGTTTTGCACGTGTATTCCACGTTAAACTATTTAGATGTCATGTGAACATGTGAAGAGAACAACTACATATTATTTTTTAGAATTAATCTTTGTATATTAATTTTTTTTTATATAAGTTATAACATAATAGATGATGTTCTTGTTGTTGGCTCTCATATTTGACTTCTCGATTGACTGTATACATAAATTAAAGATAGTTATTTAATTGTCCATAGTTAACAGAGAAAGGTTTCCTTTTTTACCGGAAAAACTAAAAATTAAAATTAAAGAAAATATTCTATTTGTTAATTTTTTTTTTTTTTTTTATTTTTTTTTTGCTGTTCTTGTTGTTGGCTCTCATATTTGACTTCTCGATTGACTGTATACATAAATTAAAGATAGTTATTTAATTGTCCATAGTTAACAGAGAAAGGTTTCCTTTTTTACCGGAAAAACTAAAAATTAAAATTAAAGAATATATTCTATTTGTGAATTTTTTTTTTTTTTTTTACTTAAATGAAATGCTTATTTTGGAAAGTTGAAGTGTTTGATCAAAGTTTTTTAGAAAATAATTAAGTGTTGTTACATAAGCAAAAGTCGTTTTGCAGAAGTTAAAAAGCATAACCCCACCCACCCATCCTTCCAAATACTTTTGTTATCTTTGTCAAATATAAATTATTATTTCATATAATTTGCCAAATGTATTTTCAAATCTTTTTTCAAAAAATACTTCTGATAAATAATGTACTTTTTTCGTCAATGCCTTATTTTCAAAATAAGCAAATTGAAAGTCAAACAAGCTTAAATCGATTACTAATACAGTAATATAAACAAAATAAAAATGTAGCCCGCGTTTAATTTATTTAAAAGGCAACCCCAAAGATTTGTACCAAAAGCAATTAGTGGTAATTAACCATCGAATAACTTTTAATACATTCAAAAGTTGACTTTTTTTACAAGTCGTTCAACCCTTGACCAGTCAAACATTTTATTTATTTTTTCATTCTAAAATTGAATGCCTAAAGAATTAAGGTAATTTTCCACTATACATAATATATAAGTTGTGCAGCACGTACTTATACAGTTATACTTCAAATTAAATTAGGCAATTCAAATCGTTATAAACTTTATAATATAAAGTATAAACGGCGCCAAATTTTAGATGTGCAAATTAACTGATATAATATAAACAACCTTTTTTTTCCCGCCTACTTCTCCTAATTGCTAACTTCCCTAGTCCCCACTTTAATCAAACTGCCATATAATTTTATTTTATTTTTTCAAAAATAAAGTTTTAGTATCTACTACAAATTTATGACAGAACAGAGTTGTTCGGATGGTAAGCATCTGTAAGAATCACTGACGAAGCAAAAAGGTGAGAGCTCCTACGAGGATTTTTAAAAAAAACATGTAATTTATTTTATTTTATTTGTGCCATGTGTTTTTATTTATCAAGTTTGGCATGGAGAAAAACATGGTCATATTCAAGTTAATGGAGAAATATCAGAATTTTGAACTACTTTATTTTCAAGAAAACCTGTTGAAAATTGACCTTGCCTATGTGGTCATTGTCCACTATGTCTATATATATATATACACACATATAGAAGGTTATTATTCAATTGTCTTAAAGTTACATTTCTCAAAGTTCTAAAATTCTTTTTCCTAAGTTTGAGTTTCTAGGTGGACTCAAAAGTTTCGATCAGAAAATTATATCGTGCATATAGAGAAAAATCAAAAATTCTTTTTGTGCACATATATATTGTTGAATTTTCTAGCGTAGCGGATAAAGGTAATTCAAAAAGTATTTCGGAATAAAAATTACCTCTTCTCTTCTTCTAATTTTAAATTGTATCATGCTTGTTTCTACTTATGCGACAAGGAATTTCATTTTATTTTTGTCTATTAATACTTCATATTCAATTCCACGAAAAATGCAAGAAGTTTATAACTTTCTTAATTCATTTTCACTTTTGTATCGCAGGTATATCAAAATTTTTGACTTTGTCACTATTATTCAAGATATGGCTTTATTTCACGGGTACACTTCAATAATTACAACTGTTCTATTAGCTACGAGTTATTTAGTGATTTTTTCCGAAGCTACGACGACATCATCAAGTCAATTGTCAAGTGCAATTTTGATAATAGTAGATCAATCTGGTAATGGTGATTACAAGAAAATACAAGATGCAATTGATGCAGTGCCTTCAAAGAATACACAACATGTATTTATTTTGGTAAAGCCTGGTGTTTATACAGAAAAAGTTGTTGTTCCAAGTGACAAGCCATTTATAACAATTAGTGGGAGAAAAACAACAGTCAAAAATACTATAATTACTGGAAGTGATTATGGAGATATATTCAAATCTCCTACTTTCACTGTTTTTGCTTCTGACTTTGTGGCTAGATACCTTACAATTCAGGTATGTTGCATAATTTATTTATTTTTATGGTCGCGATCATTATTTCTTTTTTCTTGAGTCAAAAATCTATCAGAAACAGTCTCTTTACCTTGAAGTAGGGGTAAGGTCTGTGTACGTTTTACCCTGTGTAGACCCCACTATGTGAATTTGTTGTTGATCATTTAATGGTAGTTTAATTTATCCATTATAAGCTAACATGTTTATAAGGTTACTTTGTTTAGGTAATAAAATTAGTACTGAAAACATGCTCAATTTTCTCATGTTTCATTGGATGAATAATCCGTTCATTTTGTTTTCAACCTATTTTGACCCGCTAATGCAATTTATCCAAAATAGCCAACCTATTTTGACCAACCTAACTAAGGCAAGTAGCTTTTGAGCTGACGATTCTTAAATCAATCTATTTTGATCTGCTCAAATTCAATCTAGCCCGCTTATTTGACACTCAAATTAAAGTGTAGCAATTGGCTTCTTGACTAATTAAATTTTTTTTATGTTAATTAATAGAACACATATGGAAGTGGAGAAAAAGCAGTAGCATTGAGGGTGGAAGGAGATAAAGCAACCTTTCTGGGTTGTAGAATTATGTCTCATCAAGACACATTACTTGATGATGTTGGTAGACATTATTATAAAAATTGTTATATTGAAGGGGACACT